TAAATAACATAGATTTTCACTTTTGAAAATGATACTTTGCATCCAAACTAGGAACTTTGATGTGTTCATTAAAATTATAAACAAAATTCTACCACTTAAATTTATATAAACTATCACTGAATTAAAAAAAAAACAAGTTATGACAAAGTATGACAATCACAATTGTCCCTCCAGCATTTTATAAAATGAAAAACCTAATCTGTGACAGCCACCCTTTTATTAGACATAAAGTGAGACAGCATGGACTTTCAGTCAGTGAAGTGGCACAGTGGACCACATTTAAAAGATAATCGTGTCACTGCACTGCCCCCTAGTGTACACTGTGTGATGTAACAGCTGCAGGGATCAACTCATAAACTGTGATGTAATGTCACAGATTAAACTGCATGGTTATTAAGATAAAATGTGATTTAGAGGAATTTCAACATACAGTAGATTTTAAGCCACACACACAAAAATCTGTTTTTAGGAACCTTCAGAGTTTTCTGGGGCAGAATCAACTAAAGACTGGGAAAACTGGGGACTGCTAAAAGGCGCGTCTCTGAGAGGCTCAATAGTTCACAAGCAAGGATGGGACCAGGATCACTGCTTTGTGATAAATTGTGTGAGTGAATATTGCAACAGTTCAAGAACAATGTTTTTTAACACACAATTGCAGGAGTTTAGGGATTTCATCATCTACAGTCCATAATATCATCGAAAGATTCAAAGAATCTGGAGAAATCCAACATTGCATGTCCGTGACCTTTGACCCCTCAGGCAGCACTGCATTAACACCCCACATTCTGTAAAGGGTATTACCATGTCAGAAAACCATTGTCTGATGACACAGTTTGTCGCTACATCTGTAAGTGCAAATTAAAAAATTGGCCTATTTCTGATGTGTGGCAAATACAGTACTGAGTCCTGCCACATCTAGAAATACTCAGATGACACCGCTATTGTGGCACGTATCAGAAATGGACAAGAAGCCGAATACAGAGATCTGAAAACTGCATCCTCCCCAACACCTCAAAAACAAAGGAGATGGTCATAGACTTCCGCACATCCAAACCCCCTCTTCAGCCAGTGAACACCTGTGGAGTGGACATTAACATGGTGACATCATTTAAATATGGATTGGTCTAAGAATATAGACTTCATCTACAGAAAGGGGCAGAGCTGCCTCTTTTTGCCTGAGAAGACTAGTATCAAACACAAAGATGCAAGATGTCTGAACAAACTGGTGAAAAAGGCTGGCTCTGTGGAAGGACTCAAGCTGGACTCAGTGGAGGATGTGGTGGAGAGATCTACACTGAGGAAGGTGGAGACTATTCTTAAGAACATGGATCACCCACTTCACAACACCTTGATGGACCAAAGGGCCAATGGTGGTGGACGGCTCCTCTCTGTTCGCTGCAGGACAGAAAGATTCAGAGGATCTTTTGTACCACCAGCCATCAGACTTTATAACTCTTGTGTAAACAGTAGATAACTTTTAGAGACATATTATGTGATCTATCCTCACATATACCCCTGTAATATTACAAGAGAAAGTTTCTAAATCTGTATTGAAAATTCATCTATAAACTTTTTTATGGTTTCGAGGAGCACCTCACTGTGACTGGTAGAGAGAAACCTTTAGAGGAGTGCCAAACATATAACTCACAACTCGTTCTTTCGTTGGAGCGATATCATGGCTTTCTCCCACTGGGCAGTGAGCTAAGGTTTGTGCTGCCATTGTGTACTCGACATTCAACAGAAAACATGTGCACTGTACTATGGCTATTTAGTTGTTAATTAAAACTTCTGCCCTTCAGTGAAGTAGTTCTGGGTTTATATCCTGGCTTGGGCCCTTTAATGTGTTGTGGACGTGTAAGGCTTTCCTAAAACTGTAAACTAGGCTCTGCTTTTGAACTACCAAAGTGAAATGTTGGGATGAAAAGGACTAAAAAGGCAGGAACTGTCAGGCAGGTCTGTGGTGTGGTGGATGGCACAGCAGCCATTGGCTCAAATGGCTCAAATCCCAAACAGGGGATTCTGATGTAAGGTGGGACTAAAATGCTGTCCTCACACATGGAGTGAGCTGTGCTTTTGTACTATAAAAAAGTCAAATGAATAGACTTGATAAGATTTACACTGCAAAGTTGCCCTGTAGTGTTGAGGACAAGACTGCTACCTTTGAGTCTAATGGTTTTGGGTTCAAATCCAGTGCTAAGAAGAAACAAGGTTGAGACAGGGAGCAAATTGGACTTTTGGTGATGATCCTTCATGAGGATTTTTGCGTCTGCTGTCAACTGCCTGTCTTCGGTTTATGAGATGAGTTTTGAGTCCGGTTTGGGGCACTCACCTCTTTTAATGATTTTCGCATCAGTTCTGCAGTTATCAGTTATTTCAGTGAGTTTTGCGACACGTCTAAGGTTGTCATTTCTTTTTAGATCATTTGGTTAAAGACCACAGTTTTCAATTTTCACAATGATTTGCATCTCAGCTCTGCAGTCAACACATTCCCAGGGATTTTTCACATCAGAGCTACGGGTGGTTAACTGTGTTATGATTTTTGCACCACAGCTCCACAGTCGGCAACTTTCAGTGATTTTCCTGATAAGGTCAGCCACAGTTAATTTTCCAATCATTTTCTCATAATGTCCACCATTTACAGTTTTTGATGATTTTCACAGCAGACCAGCAGTGGACAATTTCTTGGTTAATTTAGTTAAAAAGCAACTTCTGTTTCAAAGAGTCTTAAATTCCTTTGGTGTTGTTAGTTATTTCTAAGATTTCATCATGAGGTCTGAGCAATTATTATGTTTTTAGAGCTGCAGTGCACTCTCAGTCAATGATTTTCATATCAGATCTGTGATGGATGCTTTTTGTATGACTTTTGTGTCAAGTCAACGTCACTTGTTTTTGCTGTGCTTGTCCATCAAAAATCTTTTTTCTTTAAATTTTGAGGATTTTCATGTCAGGTTTGTGGTCATCGCTCTTTGTTGAGGTTTGCAGGGCCTTCTTTTTGATGATTTACCCATCAGGTCAGTCATCATCCATCTTTGCATTTATTGCATTTATTTTCTCATTGGGTACTCAATGGCTCACTTTTTACAATTTTAAAACTATTTTAAGATTTTAAAGCCCCTTTTTTGATGATTTTTGATGTCTGCAGTTTGTCTTTGTCATGCAAACCTGGAGCAAACTGCAGAGTTGCAAAACTTTGTGAGCATTTTTGAGCTTAAATGTCATTTGTGCAATTTGTTTTGTGTAGACCTATAGATGGAGCAGATTGCAAAGGTTATGAAGCACTATTCTTGCCGCTTAAGCATCTGCATTCACAATTCAGTGGATTCCCCTCTGAATGAAGGCGGTGACAAGAGGAGGCCCATGTGTATTTTGTATTTGACAGGAAATGATATAGATGGCTAAGGGTCAGCAGTTATTATCTGGCGGTTATAAAAGACCAGAGTTTTGACAGTGAACTTTCACATATGTAAACTAACAGCCTATGCAGTTATGTCAATCATGTAGCACTTTTTGGTGCTACATGATTGACATTACTACTCACCAGAGGTGTTGCCCTGGCAGGATGAAGGCCGATGAGCAGCTTCTTCAAGGTTGTAACCATGTCTGATTTGTTCAGGAGACCTTTTTGGTCAGAATCAACCTTTTTCACGAAGAGGTTTTGACAAATAAAAAGTTACCTTTGGTATCCTGAATAGTAAAATGTCCATGTAAAGTGTAAATATTTGTTAAATCGGATTGTGCAGGAATACAAAGAAAGAGCATTAGAAAGTAGCTCAGGAGATAGAGCGGTCGTCCAATAACTGGAAGGCTGGTGGTTCGATTCCCCCCTATCCCAAGACTGTCTGTTGTGTCCTTGGGCAAAACACTTAACCCACCTTGCTCCCAGTGTGTGTCCTCCACTGGTGAATGATTGTGAGTGTTGTTTGGTGGTGGTTGGAGAGGCCGTAGGCGCAAACTGGCGGCCACATTTTAGTCAGTCTGCCCAAGGGCAGCAGTGACTACTAAGGTAGTTTTCCACCACCCAAGTGTGACTGTGTGAGCGAATGAATGATGTATCCAATGTAAAGCACTTTGAGGGTCTCTATATGAAATCTGATGCATTGTAATCCTGGTTGGAACCCCTCGCCAGATCCAGTCATCAACCATAACCAGCATCACCTTCTCTGGCTCCCATATCCCTCTCTGTTCAGTAGTCACAAATCTTGGTGTTATAATGGACCCCCATCTCACCTATGAATCCCACATCAACAGGAAAGCTGGTTCATGCCTTCCTCTCCCCCAGGTTGAACTACTGCAACGCACTTCTCATTAGGATCCCTAGCTAGAGTCTGCAGAGACTCCAAAACATTCAAAACTCTGCCGCTAGGATCCTGATGAGAGTGCGCAAACATGACCATATCACCCCAATCCTCCAATCACTCCACTGGCTTCCCACTTCCACCAGGCAACTGGACTGTGTAGACACAGTCCAGTTGCCTGTTTTCTGAGTCTTCAAGATAACCATGACCTGGATGAATGAGAATCTACATGGACATACTTCACAACACCTTCATGGACCAAAGGACCAATGGTGGTGGACGGCTCCCCTCTCTTCGCTGCAGGACAGAAAGATTCATAAGATCTTTTGTACCAACACCCATCAGATTTTATAACTCTTGTCTAAATGATAGATAACTTTTAGAGACATATTATGTGAGACAACAGACAATTGAATTTCCCCTCTGGGATCAAAAGTTCTTATCTTGTCTTAATCTGTTTTTATATTCCTTTACTAGTGTGAAATTTCTTCGCTTTTAAGATGTAGCCCTTTGAAGTCACTTGATGTAAAGGGTACTACAAATAAAATGTATTAATATATGTATTATTATTATTATTATTATTATTATTATTAAAGTCTGAAAAAATGAAACAGCTGTGGAAAGTGGCATTATTCCTTTTCTGCTCCACTGATAAAAGCAATATTACAGTATTATTACTACAGATTTATTAAATATTAAATAACATCAGTAGCTATAATCTTGTGTCTTGTTGCTTCCCTCAGTCCGGCCTGTTGCAGCCTCCTCAGACTCCAGTGTCCACTCCTCAGTCACTGCAGGCTTCATCCTGTCATCCAGGCCTCTCTGATTGAACATTAGTGAATTGTTTTTCCCCCATCTCAGCTGGACTGCGGTCAGTGGGTGTACACCTGCGCCACAGAGGGCTTCGTGGGACCTGAGCGATGTAAAAACTGACTCAGGGTCTGCTGGGCGGGTGTGCAGGACTTCAACAGAGGAGGAGAGCAGGCCCGCCATTTCATTTCCCCTCCTCAGTGGTCTTTTTCTTTCATAGCGCTTTAAAGCCGAGCAGCGGCGGCAGCGGTAGCGGCAGGAAGAGGAAGAGGCGGAGGAGGAGCGGCGAGCGGCGGCGGCGGAGGAGGCGGCAGGCGAGCAGGCAGGGATCCGGTACCACATCGGGATGAGAGCGAGGCAGAGACCCGGGTTGGATGAGTCAGCTAGCGGACACTGCAATCCCTAATCACTGAGTAAAGAGGAACAGACAGAAAGAATCAATCTAGCGGTTTTTTTATTGTTGTTGTCAGATTCCGCTTCTCTTTATTCCGCCCTCCCCTGGTCCGCGTCTGCCATCGCCTGGTTTTGATTTTAGATCCTCCAAGCCGGGGGAACGAAAGGGGGTCTAGCCGGTAGAGGTAGCGGAGGAGGCGGTGGGTTTTATTTTAGTATTTTACAGCTGAGGACAGACTTAGCTCCACATTTTAACACCGAGAAAGAGTGAGGGAGAGAGGGGGAGAGTGAGCGAAGATGTCGGGCCAGAGTATTACGGACCGGATCACCGCAGCCCAGCACAGTGTAACGGGATCCGCTGTGTCGAAAACAGTATGCAAGGCCACCACACACGAAGTCATGGGCCCGAAAAAGAAACACTTAGACTGTGAGTATGCTTATTTTAATTTTATTTTGTTCATACTGAAGTGGTGTTGAAGTTAAATCACCGCAGGCTGTAGCGCCGCTTTGACTGGCTGAGTTATGGCGACCAGGCCTCAAAGCCTCAGGACAGGCTAAATGCTATTGCTTTGATATGTCAGGGAAGATTATATTGTTCTAGCGTCGAGAACAGGCCTTGTTGACAAGCTGTATGAGGCTTTCTCAACACTTATTAATACCACACTTATAAATTTACACGAATTGTTGCTAAACTAGCTCGTCTAGCTGCCTGGTTTGGCTAAATCCGCTCCCCTTGTCTTTCTACTCCCAGTTTGTTTGGTTAAATAATTAGCCCACATAGCACAAGTCAAATATCTACACATCCTGGTTTGTCTTGGCAAAAAGTCAGTCTAAGTTGGTTCCCCAATAGGCCCTGAGTTATAGGTTTAATTTGCAGTTTAATGTCATCCCCCTCTTGTTTAACATCCCCCATTTTAGTGCACCTGCAGCAGCAGAACAAGTGTCTGTGTCAGCCCAGTAATGTGACACCTGCCGTGCTCCATGGTGGGGTCGTGATTTTTCACTCACAATGAGGCATCACTGTAAAGCACAAGAACCACAGTCAATTATTCAGATTTGGGGGGGGAAAAAAAGTTCACCCCCCTGCTTGAAGTCTTGTTCAGGTCACCAGTCAATAGGGGAGAGTGGGGTAAGTTGAGCCAAAGGGTAAGTTGAGCCACCCCTTGTTGCTTGGAAATGGTCAAAGAAATTGATAATTTGACCTAATACATCAATTCATGGAGTCTGTGAAGGTTAGAAGCACATGCGTGAAGGGGTTTGACATTTAGGCTATGTTCACACTGCAGGTCAATACCGATTTTTTTTAACCGAATGACACAAATCTGATTTTTTTCATGTAAGTGTGAACAGTGCAATTCTGACCCAGGCCTCTTTTGTATGTTGATATAAATCGGATATGTATCTGATGTGACTGCAGTGTCCGACCTATACGTTATCAATATGCGACAAACGTCACTATTGTTTGACAACGCAAACAGGCGCGGAAAGCAATGGCGCATGAGGGAACGGAGAACAGCGAGTTGTGCGCTTCTGGGTAACTTCATGGATGCATTCTGTTCACATTAGATGCCGCATTCATTGTTGTAATGTGAACGACCGCTCAAAAAGATCGGATTTAACAAATAATCTGAATGTGCATCATAACCTGCAGTGTGAACATAGCCTTATTTAAAAAAAAAAAAAAACATTTTTCCACTCTTGAAAGTGAATTTAGTCTATCATAAGTTTTATTAGAGTTGTATTCATACCAAAAAAAGATCATTTTAAATTTGTTTTATACGTCTATTGTGGTATCTATGAGGTCAAAAACCTAGCATAAAAGTCCACCATTTTAACTTAGAGGACTAATAAAGTCATAATAGTAGTTCTGGGGTAAGTTTAGCTAGTGGGTCAACTAAGAAAGTAAAGAAGTCTGATGAGAGGATCAGAGTTTCAGTTCAGATTGTTGAAATGTTTGACTTTTTCTTTTCAAAAATACCGTCATTTTTGCACTATGAGACGCACTTAAAATCCTTTTGGCTTGTCGGAGCGCTGCAGCTACCGTAGCCTCGCTGAGTTATTGAATGAGTTCAGTAAAGTTTGACTTGTCAGACTGTTTTGTTTGGCTTAATGCGCTTTATAATCTGGTCCGCCTTATATGAAAACAGACGCGAAGAGATGCGTTCATTGATGGTGCTCCTTGTAGTGCGAAAAATACAGTACAGCTGTGAATCTTCTGAAGCACACTTAAAGGCATTCTCATATAGAAATGGCTTTTTACAAAACAGCTTTTTAGCAGTTATATGCAATAATAAAAAAAAGAATTTTGTACCAGTCAACTTACCCCATACACAGGTAAGTTGACCATAGGACACCATTTTTTTTTGGCATGCTATATTATCAATACAGTTATTTTTACACTCATTCTGTTGGTTTGCAGGGATGTACAGCATCTTGAAATATATACAGATACACTAAAACTATGATTGCCTCGATGTAGTGATCGAAATATGAAAAATGGCTCATCTTACCCCACTCTCCCCTATCCTGTTTCTATCCTGACATTATCATACCAGCTTAAATCCTGGTGTGATCATCAGTCTGATTCACTCAGTCAGCGGAGTCATGTCTGGCTGTACATGGAGATGAAGTGGTAGATTTTCTGCATATCGATCAGCACTTAAAATGCATAATGGCAGTGATGAAAGTGTTTTTATGAAGGCCCGCATCATAAGAGTTCAGCAACAGTCCAGGAAAAAGGTCTAAGCTGTAACTTTAGACTTACATGCTCACTGTAAAAGCTTGAGGAAGTAGATGTGGTTTGAGAAATCTGACATCTCAGCTGTTTGGATGCACACTCGCTGTAAATGTCTTTTGACTGGTTTTTAAAAAGTTGCAGGTTTTACACCTGTTGTGCTGAGGGGAGATGAGTGAAAGATGGCAGAGTGTGGCACCCTTGTTGGCTCAACTCGGCGACTGGCATGCCTCCGCAGTCACAGAACAGACAGCCTATATAATTACCTGAGGTGATTACAGGTTGGCCTGATGATTCATGCTGAAACATAAAAGATGACGACCGACAGGATGAACCGAACACAGCAGGAAGTTTGCTTTAAATGGGTTCTTAATGTCAGCTGAATGAGTCCTCTCCTGACATAATTATTTCTACATTAACCCCTTAAAATAAAACGCAAATATTCTCTTAATGAGTTTTTAACTTGACAGGGTTAAGCAAAAGTAAAAGAAATAAAGGTATGAACAGTTAAGTCTGGACTTGGCCTTAAATGTAAGTGCAGACTTAATATGATTGTCACTAATGGAGTTTTGTAAACCCTTAACTGTGATAAATATAAACCTGTTTTTTCACAAACCCCTCTTTCTCTTTCTAAAAGTCAATGGACTGAAAGCAGGGAAATGGATCATTTTACAGAAACCATAATTTGAAGGATATCTTTACAGGTGCCATTACAGTTTTAACCCCTGGTAAGACTGAGTAAAGACAATGGTGATAATGGAGAGTTTTCCTGGGCCAGCTGTTGCTGTGGTAACAGAGCTGGTGTCTTGGCGTTTGATGATAATACCGTACCGTCTTGATCAGTTAGAGCAGTGGTTCTCAAGTCCAGTCCTCGAGCCCCCACTGTCCTGCATGTTTTGGATGTTTCCCTGCTCCAACACACCTGATTCAAATGATCAGCTCGTTATCAATCTGTAATGGCTTAATAACGAGCTAATCATTTGAATCAGGTGTGTTGGAGCAGAGAAACATCCAAAACATGCAGGACAGTGGGCCTCGAGGACTGGACTTGAGAACCACTGAGTTAGAGGAAAGAGAGGTTGTGTTGCTTGTGTGGCTAACTTACTCCTGGTGAGTAATATATCAGGAAGCCAAAACACGTCCATACTTCAGACTTGAAACCAGACATTTGGTAAACTCTTCAAATCGCTCCTTTTTGCTATCAGTCATCATGACGCTGCCTAGAGAATTGCTTAATGACTGAATGACCCAGATGACCAAAGTGTTTTCAAATAAATTTTCATTAAAACTGCAGAGAAACATCCACAAAATCATCATTTGTTTGGCTAAACCCCCAATGCAGTTTCTCAACATAGATGGAGCCGATAAACTGATGCACACTGATTGGATTGCAGGAATTAAAAATGACGCTCAAAGAATGTGTCTTAAACATATGAATTAATCTTTTACTTTGAGAGTTCTGAATTCATAATTCATATAACAGAAGTCCTTCAAAAGTACCTCACCTCTTGCAAATAGTTGATTGTTACATGAATCTGTTGGAAAAAGTTTTGAGTGATTTTGTGGAGTTTACTTGTCCAGAAAAAGTCATGAGAAACTTTTTGGCTTAAAGTTATACTTCCAAAAGGTCCAGATTTGTAAGTTTGGGGACCTCCTACCTTTGCATCATACCTGCACGTGTTATCTCCACTTGTTAAACTTAGTTCATGTCAAACTGCAACAGCAGAATAAGATTTATATTTGATATTTTAACTAAGTAAGATAGTATTTCTGAGTCTGTGTAACATAATTATGTTGATTTTTTCTTGATATACTTAGTTTCTTCTGCTTGAAGACAGTAAAATACCCCAGAAGCCCATTTTCACATTATTTAATCATGATACCTGATTTAATCATTATTCGTATTTGTTTCTATCCTTTAACTCGACTCGTCAGCTTTCTTTACACATGGCAGCCAAAGTACAAACTTTTTATCACCAGCTTGCGTCATCATGACTTAAATTTATTTGCGTCCCATAAATTAATCACAGCAGAAATCATTAATGTCCAACCCTGTGAATGTCTGATTGTGACATGACACTGCTGCCAGTGTTTCTTCCTCCACCATATTCCTCCTCCTCCTCCTCCTCCTCTTCCTCCTCCTCCTCCTCCTCCTCCTCCCCGCTCGTCTCCTCTCCTCGCCGTCGTCTTCCCTGAGCAGTTCATCCACCCATGCTAACTGCTGCTGCGGCTGCTGCTGCTGCTGCTTCTCTGGAAGGTTATCCTGTCCTACTTCTGTTCCCTCGCCTTTAGAAAAGTCAAATATAGGACAGAAAGGGAGGCCCAGTTACCCGTCCGTCTGATCACTGCTGTCAATGGCAGGTTTCTTTCACTAACATCACTGAAGCACACCGGGTTACAGGACGAGCATATGAGCGGTGGAAGTGGTACATCTTAATGCCCTGCACTTTATGTCGGTTTGTTAAAAGGTCGCTTCGCCGCCATTAGCAACTAAAATGAGCCGACGACTGTTTCCACATCAGCTGCAGAGATTCCTGATTACAAGTGTGTGATTAGCAGATCATTATGTTAATGTAATGTAAAAAATCAGTGCTTTTAAAGTCACCATTTCTTCTTTTTTTAGAGATTTACCATGATAATATCAGCTGCTGCTTCATCTTTGAATGATAGCAGCTTCTGAAGTCATGTCTGCTGTGACAGTTTTGTAAATGTGGGTAATTTTTACTGAGTGAACACATAATTACTCGCATATTTAATATGTTAACAGCAGCAACGTTTGAGTAATGAATCCAGCTGATAGTTTCATGACAAATACAGGGTGAGAGAGGAAAAGTAGCCAAACACGGTGAAATATTGAAACTTTACAGCCATTTATGAGTAAAAGTTTCCACAAAATGTTCAAGACGTTTTCCAAAAAGGCTCCCTCTACCTCTCTTTATAGGTATTTATTGGCAGTAAATGTATGATGATTCATCCTCCATCAAAAGTCCAAATCATTGGGGATAATCTGGTTTATCACTATGATCACAAGAGAGAAGAACCATGAATCTTGGCTGTTTAGACGCTACAATCACCAAATCAGCTCCTCTACTTTTACACATGAAGGAAAGGACAAAAATCTCGCTTCTTTTGGACTTGCTGCTTCTTTCTTTAACTTGTTTGCTATCAAACAAACTGCACATATGTGACCTGTATCAGCGAGCATGAGTCACGTCTCCGACTGTTTTTGGCTCTGACTTCTCTGAATTAGTTTGAGCATCTGGGATTACTGTTTCACTGAGGACAGCAGGTGTTTGTCTGTACAGCAGCTCAACATATGAGGCCTGTATGACGACCAAGACACAAAACATGAAGTCATCTACGAACCTGAATAATACATCCAATCAGGAAGTTTTTGGAGCAGTCTTCGTTTTTCTGTTGATTTACCCTTAAGGTCTCATGAACTCGTCGTCTTCTTCTTGTTTCAGATTTGATCCACTGCACCAACGAGATGAACGTCAACATTCCTCAACTGGCAGACTCTCTGTTTGAGAGGACGACCAACACCAGCTGGGTGGTCGTGTTTAAGTCTCTTATCACTACGCACCACCTCATGGTCTACGGCAACGAGGTGAGACGCCTCAGCAGACACACAGTTTTTAAAAGACCCTCAAAAAAAGCCTGAAGTCTCATTAATAGAAACGGGTCTTTGTGTTTGTTTCCCTCCTACAGCGTTTTGTCCAGTATCTGGCTTCGAGGAATACACTTTTCAACCTCAGTAATTTTTTGGACAAAAGCGGGTTACAAGGTAACAACACTATGACTTTTACTAATTCTGCCTCTGCACCTTTACGAAAGATGGGTTTGATTTGAGCGATAATTCTGCTGTTTGACCGTCCAGGTTACGACATGTCGACGTTTATCAGGAGGTACAGCCGATACCTGAACGAGAAAGCTGTTTCATATCGACAGGTTGCCTTCGACTTCACAAAAGTTAAACGCGGGTAAGAGTGTTAAAGTTTTTTTTGTCTCCTACGCAACAACATTTGAGAAAACAATACATCTGTTGAGGTTTGAAAAATGTTTTTAGTATTTTTTTAAAACCTTGGAAAATTTTTGTAATGCATCAACTATGTTTTTAAACTGAAAAATGTCAAAAAATATCCAAAACCAAGTTGATATTTTTAAATTAATTTCTGATCAGGCAGATACTTTCAGGCTACTGTGTGAAAAAACTGTACATACTTATGAAACATTTATGTTGATCTGAAAAAATACAGACATTTATACTAAATGAAAGCTGTGCATTTGAAGTGCCTCTGTTTTCAGCAGCAGTGCATACGCGCACCCATCTCGATAATTTGAGTGTCTGTGAAGACAGCAGCATCGCATGCATGTTTACATTTTACAGTCATGTGACAGATACTAGGCGATGAAGAAAAAAATCATTACAGCATAGTATTGCAATATTTTGTTTGGTGATATATCGTATCGTCTCGTCCACCAAGTATCGATTTTTTTTCGAATTAATTGCTAATATGAACTCAAATCTATGATAGTGGAAAAATAAAATCAACTGTTTGTCCAGTGAGGTCAGCAGAGGTGAACTCGTAGAGCAGGAGAAGTTAGTACAACAAATATAGCAGCACCTGGGGGAGGACGTTTTTAGAAATGCAAGCAGGGCACAAATGAAATGGACATGACACATCAGGTTTACAGGAAGTGCTACATGAAAATTAAACACTACAGAAATAAGACAAACATAAAGTGACAAATGGTAAATCAGCTAAGCAGTTAAAAAAATATATGTTATATGTATGATAAAATGGTTAAAATCACAATAATATCGGATCGTGGCCCAGGTATCTAGATAATATCATATTGTGGGGTCATAGACTCTGCATGCACAGCAGTCAGTTCTCAGTGTGTTCAGATTTGAGGCAGTGAGAAGGTGATATGAAGGTGGTGGTGACAGCATGAGGTGTTGGAGGTCAAATGGATGACATTAAAATATTATGTACAGTACATGCAGGCCAAAGTTACATATGGTTCAGCCTTAATTACCACTTTATAGAATGAGTCATGTTACTGTTACAAAACCAAAAATATCATGTGGATTGAAGTGATTTTTTTTAGTTATGATTCAGAAGTCAGAGCTGTAGCCTTTATTATTTAATCATGAGAAAATTCAATACCAACTGTTATTTAATAAAATGTTAAGAATAAGAAAAACAGAATCTGCTGCTTCACCTTTTGTAGTTTGAGGATCTGAAGCGTTTATAAAGAAATCATAATCGATTGTCCTTGAATTTGGTTTTGATTTTGCACCGCTGAAAACAAGATGTTTTAGAAATTCATCATTAGTGAATTTTGCTGCATTCAGACTCTTGAAGTCAAATTTTATGTCCATATGAAAACAACTTATTCTCTGCGCTGTGATCAGAATCTGAAAAGGAGTCAAAGTCTGTTTTCCTGTTTCAGAAGCGGCACTCTGTTGCTCATCCATCTTTCCCTCCCTCTGTCTCCTCTTCATCTCCCCCTCTCTTCATCTTCCCTCCCTCCATGTGCCTCCTCAGTGTGGACGGCGTAATGAGGACCATGAATACAGAGAAGCTGCTGAAGACGATCCCCATCATTCAGAACCAGATGGACGCCCTCCTCGATTTCAATGTGAGTTTAAGGTGAAGCCTCCTGCAGCTCTGCGGCTCGAGTAGAACCAAGCTGTCTGTCTGGAGTAAACAGATTGCACTGAGGCTGTCGGACACATTTTCTTTGTTCACAGACGTACATCTGTGTTTCTGCAAGACAAATGTGATTGCTTTCCTTCAGGTCAATGCCAACGAGCTGACTAATGGAGTCATCAATGCAGCCTTCATGCTCCTCTTCAAAGACTCCATCAGGCTGTTTGCTGCTTATAATGAAGGCATTATCAACCTGCTCGGTAAGCCCCCCCACAAACCACCTTCACTCCTCAACCTCTGCTTTGTCCTCGGCTATTTTTGTGTTTGAAGTTTCTCATCCAATTTATTTTATCACCCAACAGAAAAATACTTTGACATGAAGAAGACCCAGTGTAAAGAAGGACTGGATATTTATAAGAAGTTTCTCACCCGAATGACTCGGATATCAGAGTTCCTCAAAGTAGCAGAGGTATGTTAACCCAAGTGATTTATGTTACAGATTTTGATTAAAAATGGAGACTCTATGGGACTTTTGCGAAATATCAGAAAACACTGAGTCCAACACTGGCAAAAAAAGCATTTGATAAGGTCCGACCTGCCAAAATGTGCATATTTTTACAAACCTTGGGATGTTAAAAAGACGCCATTTATTCTGCAGACACATCTTTAGGGGCCGATTTTGCCTTGCTTTCGTTCTTAAAGGTACAATGTGTGATTTTTAGCTGCATTTATATTCCCGAATATATTTTAAAGCAGTGGTTCTCAACTGGTCTCACTCTGGGACCCACATTTTCCCATGGTCCTGAAGTCGCGACCCACTTCAGTATAATTTAAAGCGAGCAAATTATTTTTATTTTATTACGATAACCTTTAAAGACGCAAACCTTTAACACAAATACACTCGTTTTATTGAGTAAAGTGCATTTCAGAGCACATGAACTGAGGACAACAACTATTAAAGTTGCATATACAGAAAATATGAAATATCAAATTGCACAAAATAAGCTATTTTTCAAAATAAAAGACATGTCAAACATCAGATGTGCATTAAATATTTACTTTTTTGACAATCTGTTTGCGACCCATCCAGAATGTGTCCACGACCCACTTTTGGGTCAGGACCCACCAGTTGAGAACCACTGTTTTAAAGAGTGTTTTATCACCAGGGTGTGAAAAACATTTAGATTTGTGGAATCAGCCTTTTATATCTCTTTATAGGGTGGGTCCCCTTCCTCTGAGGATAGCAATTTGCAATAGCAAGTTTCTATAGGAACACAAAGTGGACAAACTAGTAATATTTGCGTTTGTAGTTTTTGGTGGTTGGCCACATAAAACACAGTGGTATGATGACAAAGATGAAGAAATTTGTACTAATGAACTTTTTTAATGGAAAAAACTTGATATCACTGCAGCTTTTTGTCCTTAAAAGCCACCGTAGGTCCACTCTTGGGAGGGGTTAGCAAGGGCGCATTTCATTTCTACACATTGTACCTTTAACTCTAGGTTGAAGTTGCTGTCTCTGAGCTGTTCCTCTGATCTTGACGCTGCCCTAACTTGATTTTAACATCGTTTCATTTCTCGTATAACAGCAGGTGGGCATCGATCGAGGAGACATCCCAGACCTCTCTCAGGTAAGAACAAACCCTTTTAAAGAAACTACTCAAAAAAGATCAGATATCCCTCTCCGACTAGAAGGTTTTCTTTGCTGAATTTCTCTGATTTCCAGCTCTGAATCCTCTTTTTGCATTAGCGTCGCCTTTTTTCTGATTACAGAATAAAACTGACGTTTTTATTTTACACTGCACGATTTCCCTCTTGAGCGCATGTCTGCCAGAGGAGGTGCTGTTCTCCTTTTTCTTGTCTGTTTTCTTCTTCTGCTGCTGCTCCTCTTTTTTCTTCTCCTTCTTTCTACAGTAAATAAAGGTGTTTTAAAGCATTAGCTGTGTTTCGAACCCTCTTTCGTGACAGTTGGAAATTTAACAATTAAAAAATAAAGAGCGCGTACTCTCGTGCCCGGATGTGGGGACCAATTTTTCCATAAATATTTTACCCCCTGAGAGCTGCAGCTAAAAATGCATTCCCCCTCTGACTGTCACCACCTTTATATTCTGTATTTTCCCCCTTATCTTTCCACTTCAGTTCACAGTTTGTGTAAGTACTGTCATTTCACTCTTCTTCTTTGTACGTGACTTGCTTCAGTGTTGTCTTTTTGCATGCCTCTGCTCCGACTCTGTCTCCTACATCGTGGTGAAAAAAACAGTTGAAGGAAAAAACACTCGCTGTGGTAAATCCTGTTCACTTCAGTCACGTTATCTTTTGAGGTGTAAAACCCGTGTAGCTCATCGACTGTGACATGGCTGCCCTGTTGTGCTTAGACACGGACAATTCAACAACATGTGGCTTGTTGAAAGTGCCGTGGTGCAGTACGTCATCCCACACAGATGTTACTCTCATCCAAAGTAGCTTTTTTTGGCTGGAATGCAGTCATCCGTCAGTGGTGGGTAACTAATAGGCCAAATTCTTAAAAGCGAAATTGAATCTCCTAATCAATCATAAAATTGGCCCTGCGCCTGTGCTTCGATTTTTGAAGCATATCTCAAAGTCTTCAGTGATTTCCACTCCATCCTGGTTGCCCACCGCTGTCCTTTCTGGTCTTGATGTCCATACAGACTACATGTCCATGTGTCAGAAATGTGCTGACTGTGTGTTTCCTCCTCGCCACAGGCTCCCAGCAGCCTTCTGGAAGCTCTGGAGCAGCATTTGGCCTCTTTAGAGGGCAAGAAGGTCAAAGACTCCACAGCAGCCAGCAGGTATGCTAATCCTCCCTTTTTCTATCTCAGAATAAATCTCATCCTTCCTCTGATCTCAAAGATATGAGTTTTGTTACTTCAGTTATAGTGTCATCTGTCATTTGCTGTGATTTAATTGCAAAGCACCTTTTGTTTACAGCAAAACAGATGTTGTAAAAATGCTGTAAAAATCTTCTTTATCAAATAGCGTCTGTTTGTTTTTCCCCGCAGGGCTAGCACTCTGTCAAACGCGGTGTCGTCGCTGGCCAGCACGGGGATGTCCTTCACTAAAGTCGACGAGCGGGAGAAGCAGGCGGCTCTTGAAGAGGAGCAGGCACGACTCAAAGCGCTGAAGGTGGTTTTAAATTCAACCGAAAATCTTAAAGATATTCCGGCGTAAAATTAATTTAGGATCAAACACACTGTAACACAGAGTTAGACACCCCCTCAAAAGATGAATGTTGCCGACTGCTTGGTTCTCTAGTTATACCAACTTTAGTAACGACCGCACGATAGCAATACACAGCGGTCTAAGGAGCCATAAATAAACCTCAACCGAAACGCCACTCTATAGCCACAAATAATGCTCAGAACAGCACCTAACTTCATCAACAGTACATATAGGGTCCCAGCCACAGCACCAGCCATCAAACATTTTTTAACTTTACCTAATTTCTTTAGAAAAGGGACTAAACTCAACTCACCTACTCTCTTCCAGCAGCCGTTTTTTTGTAGCGAGACCTCAGGCCAGTCCATTACGAACTGCAGCGGGGTGACGCAGCTCAAGGAAGAACATTTATGATAATTTCTTCATGGTTACAATTTACGCCGGAATATCCCTTTTAATTTTGTATTTACAGCTTTTACAGTGTTTGTTGTTGCATGTTTTAAACGAATTTGCCATTTACATCAGGAACAGAGGCTCAAAGAGCTCTCAAAAAGGCCCTCTTTCGCCACCACTGACACATCACCCATCTCCACCACCGGGGGCACCATCAGCACAGCACCAGCCATCGACCTCTTCTCCACACCCAGCTGCTCTAACGGGTACAGACTTCATCTACCCTCTTTCACTGATATATTGATTTATTTTTTGCCACCTGAGGACAGCTGTAAAAAGTTGACAGACCATTGGGATGCAAGTTTATGAAAAAGACAGTTTTTTTTTACATTTAGTAATAACACTAGTTTTTACATTTAGTAATAACACTAGTTTTCATTTGGAGCCATGTTTCTGGCAGAAATCCAATAGTCGCTCTGTTGTAGCGCTGTTTTGATCTGCATGAACTCCTAAGAGATCCATTTGTCTCCAGCTGTTACTTGTTAGAAAGAGTGAAATCATTAAACATTGACATGCTGTACCGCTGAAAGGCTTCTGAGCGACTACAAATAATGTACGAATAAAAGAGTTGAAGGTAGATACAGCCTTTCCGACAACTGATCTCAAATTATAACAGGAAAAATGGGAACTGATTTGTTTGCTCTAAAAAGAAAAAAAAAAAACATCCTCTTTTGTTCTCTGCGTGTCTGCAGGGCGGTGAAGATGGAGAGCGACCTCTTTGACCTGCAGTCGACTTTCCAGGCCTCCATGCAGCCAGGCTCTACAGGGCTTCCAGTGGCAACAGCGTGGGCAGGTACAAAAAAAAAGAGCACCTGCGTTTCAGGACTCTGGTGACCTGTTCTGCATGCGCTCCTTCTCTGGTTGTTGTCTGACTCTGATGCCCACCTCTTCCTCTCAATTCTGTTTCTGTCTTTTTCCCCCCCTTTTCTCTCTGTCTCTCTCTCTCTGCCTGCGTAGATCCTTTCACCTCTGCTGAAGCTGGAGATGATTCCATGCCAAACCTTAACCCTTTCCTCTCAAAACTCGTTGTCGATGCCACTCACTTACCTGTCGTGTCTTCAGACGGTGTTAGCTTTTCCTCTAGGACATCCGGTCATGAAATGTTTGGTGGTAACGGCTCATTTTGTTCCTCCTCAGACGTCTTGTTGCTCCTGCTCATTTCTCTGTAGTCACTTTGAAGCATGACTAGCCTGCATGTTAACTGTGCTACTGTTTATCAATGTTTATTATCTCTCTGAATTATCTTCCTCTTTGTCTGTCCGCATAATGCACCTCATTACAGCCCATAACAAGCTTAAATCATGATGTTCTTCAATGATAACACCTCCTCTGTTTCAACCAGGACCCTCCATGTCCTACTTTAGCGCCCATACGCTCATTTCGCCTCCAAAAATCCCTCCATCCTCTCTTTCAAATGAGCACTCTGCTATTGCATTGTAATACAAAGATGACGTAGAGCTTTTAAGTTGCAACCTGTTCTTCTTTTACCAACACTATGTTTGATTCTCCAGATCGTTACAATCCCTTTATTGACACAAACTCATCCGTTTCAACCAATTACAAACGCACAGTGCGGATAGAACACTCCATCTCAGGTACTACGATGGCCTCACCATCCAAGCCTATGTTTCCTGAGCCCTGGCAAACATAGGACCCCATGAATAATCCCCAGGGCTCTTATTGAGATATTGAAGCTAAATATGTGGACATAAGCTAATATTAGAGGAAAAGTTTGACATTTTGGGAAACAGATTTTTTTGTTTCTTGCCTTGAGTAGGATAAGAGGTTTGATAATTGTCTTATTTATGTCTAGATGAAACAAAACTAGATTTGAAAAGCTAAAGAGGACAATAAACCGAACTGTGAAATCAAAGTTGAGAAAAAAGAGAAGCAGTCTTAGAAAATAAACGAAAAAGGGAGAATTGAAATAAGAAATATCGAGCAACAAAAAGAGTAAAAACAGGTTAAAATTTTTTTTGTGTTCATATCTCTGCTTTCAATGATTTGACCTGAGAAATCAATATTTGATGTACGTCATATCAGAAGCTTTCTAGAGTTTCTGCCAGACAAGTTTTAGAAAGCGTATTGGATTTACTAAATATAGTTTATTTATGGATCGGTTGGTTAGGTTAAAAGGGGGTAACCAGAATGCCTCTAGGCTGAGATAGATTAGAGGACTGACCTTTGTGGCCTAGCGTAAGGCTGCTGCGGTAGATATTGACGTCAACATACAATTCACATTAGCTGTTGTCCTTAAATATCTTCAAACACATGAATGTGAAATCTATATAACATAGTTGCAGTCAAAGTAGATGATACCCTGGCCACCCCTACCCATGTCAGTGCCAAAGCTGTGCCACCCCGGTCCAAAAAGTCTGGACACGCCCCTGCACAGTGGCACGAACTTAATCCTGCCTTTTACTTTAACTACAGTTGGGATTTGTCAGACCTAAACCAGGACAGCTGAAGATCTGACTTCAAGAAAGACGAGACACATCTCCCTTAGCGCTCCAAACATGTGCTCTAGTACCGTAGCTCTTTACTAGTGAGTAAAGTGGGCTGTGAAATCCGTGTCAGAGGGTTACAGGTGTTAGCCTGGGTAAAAGCTGTAGCAAAAATCTATGTTTTGTCTTTGTTTGAAGGATAGATGTCCCAGTGAACCAGCAGTAGAAGGGTAGTTTATTTACACTCCAACACAGTAGGCGGCAGTAATGCACCTTGGTGCTGGTTGTGGAGGTAGATCTCAGCACATAGACCCCTTGTGACACCTCAAGTTATTCTTAGATCATCTGTAGATCAGTTTCTTACAGTTTCGATTTTTCTGTACTACATGAAGAAGAGAATATTAACGCTGTAGACTGAAGTTTTGTCAGCTGTTTCCCTTGTCTTGATGCTTTTATCCGACTCAAGGCAAGAGCGCCTCTAAGCTAACTTCCCAAAATACCTCACTTTTCCTTCAGCTCCTCCTTTATGGTTGCTACAATACTGTTCTGCACTGTTTTCCCCCTTTACACCTTAAATTTAACTACATTCACAGAACTCTTAGCCATGTTAGCTGTCTCCTTCCTGACTTTATTGCTGTCTTTTCCAACCTGTCTCTCTGGCTTGGCCTTGAATGCTTTTTCTCCTTTTGCTCTCTTTCTTCCTCTCTCTTTCTCTCTTTCTCTTCTTCCTCTTCTCGCTTCCTGTGGCGTGTCAGACTCCTTCTGTGGTCCAGTGTCCATTGCCCAGCACCTCCCACACCAGGCTCCTTACCCCACTGAGCCCTCTACTGTAGCAGGTCTATTCAGAGGTAGAGTACTGAAGGCTGTCTCTAGAATAATCCACTTTAGATTGATGGGGATTTTTCCGCACCGCGCAGGAGGCTGTGGTGTGCGGCGCAGTTTTGGAGGAGCTAGATATTCATGTGTGGAAACTCACTGTACTTAAACGGGCCAAAGAGGGGAATAAAAGTCTAAGAAATTTCAGTTTTACTTCGTCTTACTTCACTCTCTCTAACTCTGTCTCTTCTTCTGTGTCTTTATTTCAAATGAAGGATACTCAACGCCACAGGCCCCTCCTCAACAGTCTTCAGGGGGGCTCCAGGTGGACTTTGAATCTGTGTTCGGAGCCAAAGCCGCAGGCAGCAACAGCCTCAACTCTGACGGTGAAAATTTCGTTCCTCTTCTGACATGCCTGATAGTACATCCTTCGTCGAAGCCAGTCTTTTATGAAGCCTTTTGCGTGTTTCCGCACAGACAAAACTCACTCAGAATTTCTTAAGAGGATAAAGGAACTTCCCCAGAAAGGTTCTGTTCTGTGGTCTACTGACTTTTCAATCCATTTTTGATTCTTAAAGGGACCCACAGCTCAAGGATTAGTCCACTGAAAGAAAAAGAGGGTTATTATGATATTAGACACACTCTATTTTCAGCCCCTGACGTCACGTACGGCTGAAACACCTGCAAAGCTCGGCCCTAGTCTTAAGAAAGAACAGACTTTTGTCTGCATGCACTATTTTTACCTCACCTCTGCATGAATTTGCAAGTGGCTGAAAAGCTAGAATTGTTCTGTATTTGGGCAGCGATGGAGGGGAAGTTAAAATCATATCAATGTTACGCTTTAGTGATAGAGAATTTTATAGGATCTCATCTTAGCTGTTGTGTGTGGGCTCAGAGCTCCAGCTGGTCTAAAATGCTGCTATTCACCTCCTAACTGGAAAGAAACAAAGAGACCACAACAAACCAGAGCTGCTCCCTCCTCATGAGACACTTATCGAAGACTTGACTATTATTCCAGCAGATTTATCTCTTTTTTTTTTCTCACAGTTAAATCAGGATATAAGTTTCACTGGTGTATTTATTTTAATTTTATTTATTTTAATGTTTATTTAACTAGGACAATACATACAACACTGCCACAAGAAATGGAAAATTTGATGCATACAAGACGTCTAGCTTCAGCTAGTTTGCAGTCTCGTCCCTGGTCAGGCTGTAGTGTAGGATAAAATACACTGAATACTATAAATGCCATAATGCAAATACAGTGAATAATACAGTGACTGGCTAGGTGACACAAATAGATAAACACAACAACAAAATTTAGATATGTATGTATGAGACACAGTTTGTGGTGGAAAATGCTTTTAGTTGTCTTTTAATGTGAAGATTTCTAACAGCAAAGTCCTCCTCAAAGACTGTAAACTTAACAGTTGATGATTCTGTGTAAACTTCAATTTGTTTATAAGGAAATAAAAAAGCTCTTGAAACAGAAACATTAAACTCCTCAAGAATCAATATTTAACTTTTGCAGAGAGAGAAAGCGGGAGCGATTAATCCCTTCATTTATTCCTCTTTATTTCATTAAGTCACACTATGGTGACTGTAAGGATACCTAGCCCATGTTCACACTTTAAACAATGGAAGGTCCACACGAATGATCATTTTGACAAGCTTTACTGGTTGCAGATCTGGGTTACAGCTTCATCATGCCACAAGTGTAACAAAGACTGGTCTGAAACTGTCCAAGTATATATAGTCGTTCACGTTTCCAAACATTCTGCTTGCATCTTGTTGACCTGAAGGAGAGTCCATGTTGGGTAATGACAAAGCACAACATAAAACAGTTCTTGAAACAGTCTCCTTAAGAATCAATATTTAACTTTCGCAGAGAGAGAAAGAGGGAGGGAGCGATTAATCCCTTCATTTATTTCTCTCTATTTCATGAAGTTGCCCTACGGTGACAGAATCAGTTAAATTTGTTATCTCGTCGGCATGAATCGCTTAATCATCCTTGTATTTCTCTGCAGATATAACCGGGGGCATCTTGAAACCAACCCTCGCCGGCTCTAACCAGCCGCTTGGTCAGCTGCCGGAGAAGCTGGTGTCAGATGACCTCGACTCCTCCTTGGCTAACCTTGTCGGCAGTGAGTGTCATGCTTTTCCCCCTCTGTTATCCTTAAAGATCAAATATTCTCAGACATTTCTCTAACATCTCCCCTTCTCTCTCTGAAGACCTGGGCATCGGCAATGGCACGATGAAGAAGTAAGTGACAAAGCGGCGTTGTGTAACTCTGCTGCAGCTTTGTTCTCTCCGGGCCGCTACGAGCTAATGCTAACATCAACTGTGCTAATCTACAGTGACATCCACTGGAGCCAGCCGGGAGAGAAGAGGATGACCGGTGGCACCAACTGGCAGCCCAAAGCAGCGCCAACCACGACCTGGAACCCTGTTTCCATGGTGACACGCTTTTTTCATTTGGATGTAGTGCTCATGATTTCTGCCTCTGCTGTACTCGTGTGTGATTTTTACAGCTGAATAACTCCGGCCCTTGTGGTGTTACACTGCGCTCGTTGTTTTACTGAGACATAAATCCTCACTGCGGCCTGTTTTTGTGTCCTCAGCCTCCATCAATCATGGCCTTCCCTGCCACCACACCCACGGGCATGATGGGATATGGCATGGTTAGTATCCTGTCAAACATAGTAAAAGTAGACCAAGTGTCACTTATTCCTCTCCTGTTTGGTAAAAACATTGCTCCCTATAATTATTAGTATTATTTTTGGGAGGATTGACTAAATCTACTTAAACGAGGTCAATTGAGAGGCTGTTTTACTGTGAAGACTATTCTTTGAAGTTTTATAAACAAAATGAAGGATGATGAAATCTCAAAAGTATAAATTTAAAGCACACATGTGGCTCATAAATGTTTCATTTTTCTAGTTCAGATGTTTTTGATGAGAAATGAAAAACTCAGACTAGGGCCCGACCAATATGGATTTTTTTTTGGCCGATACCGATTATAGGGGGGAAAAAAATCTGATTAAACTGACGATTTTTGACATTTTTTTAATGAGGTTATAAAAAATCTATCTATACTGTAGATATCTACATTATACTATACTATGTACTGTAGATATACTGTAGGCTACTGCTCTTCACGCCAACAGGAAGACCGACTGATCAAACTCAGACCAGAAAAGCATTTTCAAAGTTGGGGAACTTTTCAAAGTGAAACCGAATCTTATTCTCTGCATTTTATTTTTTAAAATATCAGCAAAAATCTGTGAGTTTTGTCAGTCGGGCCCTAATTATGACTCCTCAGTGTAAAACATACACATTATTTTCCACTTTTGAGATTCTCCTTTGATTAATCGTTAGATTTATTTAAAATGCATAAACTATATGAATGAAAGCTAAATTTAGCAAATTTTTATAACTAAAAAGTCATAAAAAGTTTAGGAGCCAAGATACTTAGTTGTTTGATGGATAATTGTTCTGTAACAACTGAATTAGACTGAAAAGAATATCTATTTATTGCCATCTGCAGTTGGGATATGGCAGGTACAGAAGGATTTGTGTTTGTTGGCTTTATTAAATGTGAAAATACTGACAAAAAACAAAAACAGTGATAAAAAAGCAACTTTTTACATTATAAGAGGATTTATTAAATGCCATTTCCATCGATTTTCAGTCCATTTTTCAACAATAAATACAAAGTTTTGCAGCTGTCGGCTTCTTAAATGTGTCTGTCAGTGTTGATTAGTTTGAATAATGTAATTCTGGCATGGTACAACTTCTAATCTGTTATAAATAACAGATTAATCAAGAGAAATAGCAATCACCAAATGTATTAATTATCCAGTCAAAGGCCAGTATATTCTCTGTAAATGTTTAAAGCAAATCTCTGCTCTCATACTAAACAAACCGTCTCTCTCCTCCGTGCAAATACTCCGCTGCAGCCTCCACAAATGGGCTCTATGGGGATGATGAATCCACCCACTATGATGTACTCGCAGCCCGTGATGAGGCCACCCAACCCCTTCGGCTCTGTGTCGAGTGCTCAGGTGGGTGCTCGGCAGTCTGACTGCTCCACCACGCAGCTGCACAATGAAGTCAGTATCTCGGCGCGCAGTTATCAGGTTGTGTAAATAGGTGTATCCATTGTGCTGCGATGTGGACCGTAATGAGTCACTGTGTTAGCTTTGCTGTCAGTGTGAATTCTGCTGAAGATGATGGCAGTTTTAACCGTGGATCCTTCACTCCTTTGAGCTGAAGAGACAAAACTGTGTATCATCTTCCTTGTTTTGAGTCCCTGTACCCCCCCCACCCCAAAGAAAACCTCCTTGTTATTAACCCCTTTGTCATACATCACAGCTTCTCCTGACTAATCTCATCCCTCCTCAGTCTCTGTACTGACTCTCTGACTTCTCCTCTGGTCCTCCCACCTCCTGTATTTCTTCCTGAAATAGCCCTCCGCAGCCTCTAGTCCTTCCAGCCAGAGTCCTCTCCGAGCCCCTGGACAGGACCCGTTTGCACACCTCTCTCTCAAGGATTTCTTGTAGAGCATCTCTTTAGGTACAGCATGCTCTCTGCCTGCAGGTGTACCTGCATGTTCTGCATGCCCAGTGCTTATGATGCCCTCTCTTTTTTTATTTATTTGCAGTTTAAAATGCTTGATGTCTTTTCCAGACAATTAGGGGTTACATGTTTTATTCTCAATAATTGACTTTTATCTTTACTGTGAGTTGCTTTGGATCTCGCTGGATTTGCTGAGTCATAACCATGAGCCGAACTCATTTTGCTCCTTTATTCTTCTGCTCTCATCCTGCTTTGTTTCTGCACCTTGTAACAGATGCCAGATTTAACAGACTGTTCACTAAACTCTCTGCGCTCTAACATGGAAGCTTAAAATAATAATCCCTGCTGTTCATTAACAGAAAATCCACATTTCCTTTTCAAACTCAGGGGAACAAGTGTAGAGAAATTCAGTTTTTCCTCGTGACGGTTGATCCAGTTGAAGTAGCTGCTTGGGGGGAAACATTCGGTGACAGTTATCAAATTAATCCAAAAAATAAAAAAGTGAGTGGATCAAGCAGCTTTGCTCTAACATGCCTTCGCTGTCGAGTCAAACAGTTTGTCCTCATATTAAAATTTGAAAGAAATATTACCTGCCGGGGAACTCGGCAAACAAACTGAGGAAAAAACAGCCTGTACACTGCAGGGCTCCAATATGCAAACCAGGTAATCCACCAGGACGACATTTTGAGCTGACTCACTTTTCATCAGACTGAGACAACACTCTGCAGCATTTCCTTAAACACACATGATCACAGTCACATGAGCTCTCAGACGATCAATCTCAGATAAGAAGTAGAAGCTTTTAGATGTTTCATACCTGATGATAAAATATTATCCATGTGAGTGTTTTCCATTCAGTAAACAAATCATTTAAATGCAAAGTAGAGGAAACACACTCAGATCGGGTTAAACGTAAACATCGTTGAGACTGTTTGGCATCATTTAGTGTGTGAAACTTGTTGCAGAGACACTTCCAGTGTACGGTGCATAATTTACAACTAGAGATAGGAAAAGCGAGATGAATTATCATCATGCAGAAGACAAATTTAATGTTTGTTTTAATGATGTAAGCTGACCTTGAGTGTCAAGAAAGATGCCTATAAATAAAATGCATGATTATTATTTAATTTTCAACCAAAAAGGATAAATGTCCACTTTTTAGGCTCTTATGTGACATCTCAGGTGACACAATTATACGTTCAAGTTCCCCTCATTCTCCCTCTCGTTTGCTATGTTCCCCTGTTCACCTCATTACTTTCCCTTCTTTGTTTGAATGTGCATTTCTTGAATTTTGAACAATTGAGGAACTCCCAAATTGGTCTCACTTGTGTGTTGCTGCACTAAAATTGGCCTCTCTTCAAATCCACTTAATCAGCTGCTAATTGTGTCAGCATTAAGAAGCAGATTTAACACAATTGAAGGAGAGAAAAATGCTCGAGTTTATTACCTCCAAAGATTCTGCTCTTAAAGCTCCTGTGAGGAACTTTCATTTTGTGTCAAACAGTCATCCAAATGTATCGTTTATTATCAGTATTTTTTGTGAAAACTTTAAAAACGTGGCTGTTTTTCTTCAGCTGAACCCCATAGCTTTCATAGAAATCATGAAAAGGCACAGGTACAAATTCCAGTCCTATTTAAAAACATCCAAAAACTCCTTATAGCAGCTTTAATGTTCAAGGTCGCTAATATTTACCAGCTAGTTTATGACCCACTGATGTTCCAGGCGTGAAATTCTTAGACAGGAGAGTTTTCCTGCCTCCTTACTCGTTTCTCCACGATAGACACAGATAAACAAACGGCTTCACCGTTATTTTTTGGTACTGAAAATTCAAACTAGCACAGTCTGTCCAGCGTGGCTCTGAGAACATCTCCATCAACACCGATTTGGCTCAATTCAAAGCTCAAACCTGCTGTGCTCAGCGCCGGCTGCCAACGCTGCACTTGGACTTAAACGCGTCTGTGAAGGGTTTAATGAACAGTCATTCTGAATTTTCTTTTTTTTTCACATTGTTGTTGTTCTCAGTTTTTCCTCCTAACTTATACTGTCTGCTCCCTTTCTTGCAGATGCAGTTCATGTAATTTGAAGAAAAGTGTCTCTCAGAAGATGAAGCACTTAGCAGCAAAGCTTTGTCCTCGTTGCAGTCTAACTCTTCAGAGAAACATCCTCACACATAAACACACGCACACACTCACACACTCGAGTACAGACAGAACACAATGGTGCAACGACTGTCAGAAACCATGGTAAACATCTCCAAATGACGTTTGGCAATAGCCCACACCCATTATTCTATAACTTGTCCAGAGACGTCAAGTGATGCTGCTGTCTAAACCCCCCCTCAAAGAGGATTCCTTGTCCGTTTTTACAGCGTGATCTGTAAAGATAGTTCCGGGCGCAGAGAAACTTTGATGTTATGTGTTTGGACAGACTGTGGCCGGATGTAAAAGGCTGGACGTTCAGCTGGGGAGGGGGCGGAAGGAAAGCAGAGAGCGGTCCTCCCCTTTCTTGATCCGATCATCAGTCCCTACAGTTATTTAACAGTCACTAAGTAGTGATGCTAATGGCGTTTACACCTGTTTTAGTTTTTGTCTTTTTTACCGTGTTTACAGTAGACATTCCTTGTGTGTTGTTTGTATTTATTTATGATTATTGGTTTAAGATTGGGGAAAAATAATAATGTAAAATCTACAGTACATTGAACACCTGTGGGAGTGCTTCAGCATTAAACAAGGATCTCAGACTATCATCGAGAGGTAGAGTTAAAAAAAATAGCTATTATATAAATTACACCTATTAAGCGGAATGATAGAGCACTAAATATTCTACGAGTTTTGTGTTAAGAAAATTTTTTACTAGATGAAAGATTTCACAATCTCCGTTGTACTTAAAGTGCAGGGGTTAGAGTATGAGTCAGTAAACAGTATATAGTCGATTCTGTGCCTAGGGTTTTTGCAATGGATCAGTTTACTGTCTAGTTGATTAAAAAAGATTAAAAAAAAGAGAAAAACACGTCATCCACGAAAAATCTGAAGTGTCGCACTGGGTGGTGGGCTCCATTTGCTTTTAGCTTGGCATGCCATTGACTCACTGACCGTATTCAAGGCTGCCTTTACTCTGAATGTGAAAGAGTTGTCTTCATGTTGCACACATCTTTCCACACTGCAGTTCCTCAGCTGGAGTTTTTTTGGGGGAGGGCGGGGTTTGAGGGAACAGAGTGTGTCTGCTTGCTGGTTAGCCGTAGCTAAGCTAATGGTGTGAAAAAGGGTCTCAGATTTGATGTAAATTAATTGTATAAAAGAACAAGAGGACCAGGGCGGGGCGGAGGAGCACTGTTGATCGGTGCTCTGTGTATATATATAATACTGACTGTTCTTTAAGAGGTGAAAAGTGAAAGATGTATGAAATATGAAAGCAATTCAATCAAATTTGACTCTACCTAAGTTTGATTCAGGATATTCTCTGCGTTTGTCTCCGCAGATATTTTCTTTATGTAATTAGAACGTGTAGCAGACAATGACTGAAGTCTTTTCTTTCTTTTTCAAATAAAGAGCAGCTTCCACAAACCAGTGCTTGTGTTTCTAAAGCTTCACTTTTGCAACCCTGAGACATGGCTTCGGTACAGATTCACATTTCTCATTGTTTGTATTAAAGCAGCTTTCAGTGATGAGTTAAAGAGGCTGGCTGGGTTAAACCTGCTCTAAATTTGGGTAAAGTTTGGGCTCTGTTCATTTAGTTAAAAATTAAATATGATCATGCATTTAGGGAGGAAGGAGTCTGCAGCTTAGGGGCAAGATGAACCTGAAACAGCTGGCCACTAAAGCTCAAAGTAGGTCATCAGAGTGGGTATATGAGCTTGCTGTGTGTTGTGCAGGTATTTTTATTTTCTGACTTGAGTCTGATCAAAAATTGATCAGGAGGTGGTCCAGATATCTCGGCGATCCACCAAAATGCCTATCCTCACATTGGTGTTAAGTTATTCCTTTTTTGTGAATTTGTAGAATTATTGCTGTTTGAGATGATTTGCTGACGTCAACATCCTCTTGCCAAGTAGAGGAGAGTGGGGTAAGATGAGCCATTTTTTATATATTGGATCAAGACAATCATAGTTTTGTCTCTAACTAGTGTATCTTCACATTCATGTGTTTTTTTAATCTATTATACACTATTCAACTGGTACAATAATTCTTTTTATAATTATTGCATATAACTGCTGAAAAGCTGTTTTGTAAAAACCCATTTTAACGAGAATTCCTTTAAGTGATTCAGAACATTCACGGCTGTATTTATGAAAGAAAAAGTCAAACATTTCAACAATCTGAACTGAAACTCTGATCCTCTCATCAGACTTCTTTACTTTCTGAGTTGAGCCACTGGATAAACTTACCCCAGAACTACTATGATGACTTCTCCTTCTCCTAAATATTTGGTCACATGATAAATTTCTTTTATCATTTCCAAGCAACAGGGGGTGGCTCAACCTACCCTTTGGCTCAACTTACCCCGCTCTCTCCTACAGTGATGATGTCAACCAGCAGGGACTGAGGACACCTGCTGGACGCTGACTGTAATTACAGCAGCAAGAACAGCAGTTTGATTAAAACAAATATGGACTATAAATTAACTTGGAGCTGTTTGCGCTCAGAATTAAAAATGGATCAACGAGAAGGACGTTTTATCCTCATTTGAGCCTGAAGCAGACAAACCAGGTCCTCTTCATCCACAACCACCACAGCCCGGTCCCTCCTCCTCCTCCTCCTCCTCCTCGTTTGTTGACTCCAGCTCATCCAGGAGGAGCAGCAGCAGCAGACCTGAAGTGGAGGAAAACACATCTATGCTCTTTACTTTGCTGTCGTGTCTTTGAACAGACTCATGGGGGATTGGAGGAACTGGAGTGGGTTGACAATACTTGCAGGGGTCCTTTGAGGTAGGCGACTTGTTGAATACTTGAGAGCAAACAAAACTATTAACTCAGCCATGAGGTACAAAAACAGGCGTTCATCTTCGAAGGTAAAAACTCATGTTACTTTAAAAAACGTTTATAAATATTAGCCTGGTGAAACTTTTACTTTAGTTCACTAATGTAACATAGTGGTCTTGTACTTAAGAGTATTTTCAATGTATATATTTTTAACATTTTTACGACTAAGCTACTTTTCTACGTCTGTGTTAAAATTAACTACTTTGGCCTGACCGTTAAAGGCAATTTGGTCACTTATGTCCCATTACACTTACCGTCAAACTGTCTTAAAATATCGCGATTATGAAGTGAGTAAAAAAAAACCCTGCTTATCTTGCTTTTACTCTTTTAATGAGGTTCTATTTTTAATTTTTATTTTATTTAATGATTATTTTTTTAACCAATAACCAGTTTTTATATTCCTTCACTGTGAAATTTCTTTGCTTTTAAGATGTATTATTATTATTATTATTATTATTATTATTATTATTATTATTATCGTATTTTTAGAATAAATTAAGTAAATACATCTGTAATTTCTATGACATTATCTAACATAATTTGCTATACATTAAAAACTGACTGGCTATTTAAAATAATGAAAAATGCTTCGTCTCAAAGGTGTAAAATGTTTCATGTATTTGGAGACCTGCCTCAAATAAAACTGCAGTCAGTCATACAAATATGTCGAAGAAAATAAAGCCCTTCTCAAGCTTTAGTTATCTAACGGTATTTTACTGTTTTTGTATGTAATACTTTTCGTAAATTTTAATATTTCCTTGTATTTCTTGCAGGAGTTAAGGGTGTCATTGTGGTTAAACACCTTTCCTTAACTGTAAAATATTATCGTCATCAAAAAAGAGGGCACACAGCTTTAAGTGTGGGCTAAAATATGAAAGAGAAGTTCATTTGCCACATGTTTGAGCAATTATAAATTAGGGCAACAGTAAAATTCAATGAGGAAAAGTTTCTTTATAATCTGAAAGACATTTGAAGAGGTTTGTGGTAGCTGTGGTTATAAACAAACATATTTTTCCTTATCGACAACCCCCGCTTAAAGTTTCACCAATGAGCAAGTTAATTTAATTTAATTTGCCAAACATTGAAAACAAATGAAACATTTTCAGCATCTAATTTACTTTGATCAGAAGCGGCTGCTACAATGAGACTCGCATGACTACACCTCTTTTTTTTTCTTACTGTCATAGATTGTGTAACAAGTCAAACAAATAAATGTTCAGACAGTTTGTTTATCAAGCTGTCAGCCGAAGTGAACTCATGTTTTGTAGACAGCTTGTTCCCAAGTAAACACTCAACCACACAAGATGCGTTACACCGTACAAGGTGTTTCAAGTACAAGGAGTTTTGTTGTCAAGTCCAGGGGTCAGTGACCTTCCAGAGTCAGAAGTTAAGTCCAGGGGCTTGTGAGGCGATTAACAAGAGAGGGAAGAGGAAAAGTTCAGGTTATTCAGCTTAAATAACCTGTTTTCTTTTAAACCTTTGCTCTTTAATTAAATACAGAAAAAAAATTGACATTTCAGGCTTTTAAACTCTGATTCATAAGAAGCGGTGAGGGGTTCATAGCAGGGAATACTAGTGTTGTGTCATTCGCGAACGATTCGTTCAAAAGAACCAAATCTTTTAAGTGACCGTACTGAATCGAATCACTTCCTCGAGTGATTTGTTTGTTTCTCACTTCAGTTGAGCTGAAGTGAGAAACAGCATTGCCAGTCGAGCAGCCGGTGAACGAGGGACCGCATGCACCGACATCTGAATCACTTGGTGAACGAATCACCCATTGAACTAAGCTCTCTGGAATCATTTTTGTCAGAAAAAAACTACCTTTTTTTTCACCTTTTGCCACCACAAAAACTTGCATACAATAGGACACAGCATGTAACAAGTAGTGCATCCTATCATTGCAGCGGTGCATGTTCAATGTGAATTCTTCTAAACATTCAGTGAACGAATCATTCACTGAGTCCAATTTACCGTGCAGACCTTATAAATAGCATACCATAGAACGTTACATTGAAAACATCATGACTTATAAACAAGTTCATTTTTACAAACGTGTTTGCCAAAGCAACACAGCCAAACACTCGCATCTCCCGCTCTGAAGAAGCTATGAACTGAACTGAATCCTGAACCGTTCAGTTGTGTATCAGTTCAGGAGGTCTGAGTCACAGGCCTCTCCCGCTACATGATTCGGTGATTTGGTGAACGAATCTTTTGAATGAATCTTTTTAGTGAACTGATTCTAGTAATTCAGTACACCTAAAAGAACTGCCATGCCCATCACTAGGGAATACTATAATTCTAGTCTAAATCTAGACATATAGCTTTTTTTTCTATTTGCAGTTGCATTTTTAATTATAAAAGGCAAAACTTTTTCTTGAACTTAACAAATTTTCAAAAATCTTTCAGGATGTGACAGAGTGACTTTGCGGCTGCAAGCGTTACACCGATATCCCTTTGCATTTCCACACCTGAGGAGGAACCATGATTGACTTGAGCCACCTGACAGAGGAGGAGCAGGGGATGATCATGACGGTGCTGAAGAGGGACGCCGAGCTAAAGAAGGCCGAGGAGGAGAGGATCAGGTAGAAATGTGAAATTAGATTCTTATGTCTTTTTACAGTCTGGGGGATTTTTGCACAAGCAGAAATGCCTTTGCTGATATTTAAACTAATGTCCCGCTATCCAGCTAATGTGATTTTATTGATTCAATAAGTGGCGTCCATTGCCTGTTCTGTGAGAAGAGGCCTTTGTTTGACATGACACTCGTCTGATCGTAATAGAATAACACAATAACAGCTTGGCCGGATACAGTGGCTGCCCGGGCCGCTGAGAAGCTTCAATGTGAGACTGGTAATTAGATTAGAGCCACACATGGGAGAGGATCGGGCCCCTCCGACAGGCAGAAATAGAAACACTTTCAGGACTCTGATGATGGGCGACACCTCTTTCTCTGAAGAACAGGATGACCACAGAGTTTAATGTGAACCTTTTTGATACTTGTGCTTTTTAGCTCTGTCTTGGGTCTCTGGGAGGAGTCAAACATTCCTCCCAGTGTATGTCCAAGGCTTGTTAAGACAAACAGAGAAAACCTCTGACCTCTCCCATGTGCCGAAACCAAATCAAGATCTAGTCTCTCATGCATGTAAACTTCCTAAAATTCTTTAAAGATGTTTTTTTATTTGGTTTTAAAGAGTCAAAACGGGCCATAAAAGAATATGCGTTTTATTAAATTTCATAGTACTGGCCGGCTAACTTTTCCTCAGTGAAAGCTGGCTGTGTCTCAACTGTTGGAGTGTAAAAGGATTAAGCCAACAGCCTGTAATAATGTGCTACCCTTCGTTCACATGACCACCATCAAGAAGAGAGATGAGTGCTGGTTTTAATGCCTTTGATTCAATTTTGAACCTGATGGAAATGTTTTGCTGGATTCCTTCCTTTAGAAAGATCATGTGCAGCTCTTATATAAGGCCCGTAATAAAGCAGTGGAATGTAGAAGATGTTGTGCAGGAACAAGAGAATATATACCGTGTGATCGAGTTAAAATGGATCAAATAATATGTGTGGATTACTGTGGAGAGGAAGAGACAGAGTCAAAACAACGAAACACAGAAGAATCACAAAATCAGTCTGTTTTGATTTGGTGAATTTGACACTTTTACAACAAAATGAGCAGCTTAAGAAGTATCCACAGATGAAAAACTCTTCTCTATTTTATATTTCGCCTCGTATAAAGAGGTTAATGCAGCATATGCACAAGTTAAACGGTATCAGTTTAGTTTAAACTAAGCATTGTCTTGTATTTCTCACAAGTGAGTCTTCTGTTGTGTCTGGTGAAGCACTTCTTCCTGTTCCAGTGAGATTGTCTTTAATCATCAAGGCGTAATCATCTAGTATCTATCATCTAGCATAATAGAAGATTACAGATGATAAATAGATATATTAATAAACTCTTGACTCAGACATTTGTCTCCTCTGTTTCCTCATCCAGGAATCTGGATAAAATCCTGAAGACTGACTCCAAGGCAGACTTAAAGAAGAAGTACTTAACCGGAGAGTGGTTCTATGAGGCGAAGTCTCGCAGACACATGGATAAGATCCATGGCTCGGAAATCATCCTGGCCTCCATGAAACCCAGGAAAGCTGGTTCAGGTGTGTTTAAGACCCTGAAAATCACAGTGTTGGTCTTTATTTGAAGTGAAGTGGCTCATATATAAACATCAGTGTTAAACTTATTGTTTCTTAACCAATCACAAACCTCTATAGAAGCAGTTTTGAAGGTAGCTAAATGGAGTTAATATACACCAAAGCTGAGGTCAAAATAATTGAAAAACACCTGCCTATAAGGTGGAAAAAACTAAATATTTTGATTGCATAATTATATTCCCTTTTTCAGCCACAGATTCATCTCCAAGAACTGAAAGATCCAAGACACCGAGCAGTCAAGGTTCAGACATTGTTGTTCCCCAAAAACCTGCCAGATCTCTAGAAGTTTTGCAGCCATCGGAGAACAAGTAAAAACTTCTTTTCTTTACAAATGCGCCTGTTTTTCCAATCATTCATTTTCATGTTTCCTTTCTCTTCTACTTCAGTGGGTCACTTTTCCACCACAAAGTGCCTCATGACACTTAAGATATCTTCTAATACAGTAGCAGGTCCTTTCTCTGTCTGTGTATTGTGTGTGCTCTGTATGTGTCTTGTGACTCAGCCTGTGTAAACATAGGTGGTGCTAACGGAGAACATGCCAGTTTTATTAGCCCGGCAGCGGCTAATTGCTTACAACAGTGCAGGATGTGGTCTGATGTATTGAGCGTGACAAGGAACAGAATGTTAAACTCAATAGGGCTCTCATCAAAAATAACTGTGACACCGTTTTAATAAGAAGACCAGCGGTGTTGATATTGTGGTTACTCCTACGACGAAAGGAACAAAACGTTGAAAGTCCTCCTCTACTCCTGCGGTGACTCAAACAGAAGCTGCTCGACAACGATGGCATTTCAATTTAACTTTATTTCATCTCCCAGACTCACTTGATTGTATCCATCACTATTTAATGATATTTTATGATAGCCGAGGCACATTTAACAACCTTATATTACAAACTATGCCTCTGTGCTCTCTCTGAAAACTCAAACTGCAAGGGTTTTTCCAGTGTTTACATACCACATCACATGTATTTTAGATGCAATCATTCAATTAAATAGATTTCATCCCTCTTATTCAACTGCAAAGTATTAGATAATGTGAGTTGATGAGTCCCTGTTTTGGTAAATTAGTGTGAATGGACATCGGTCTTTTTGGTTTCAGTGTTATTTATGAGGCATCAAGCCCCGATTAATCACACTACGATATAACTTATAAAAAAACACCCAGACTGTTGGACTTCATCTGAAACTTCAAAGTGGTTGTGCCCCCTTCCTAACTTCTGAAACTGTCTTTGCAGCAGTGATGCAGAAAAGGAGAATATCAGTTCAGCTGTTCGCTCGCCAAGAACGGTAGGAGCGTCTTATACAAACCATGCTTTTGTTTCTCAGTTGAAAAAGGTCAATGACAGTTAATATAATGTAATAAATTAATAAAACATGTTTTCTCTCCAGCCCAGGCACAACCCTTTCAACCGTGCTTCCCTTATTGTCGTTGACCCCCCTGAAAGTTTGATTGACATAGCAAGCTGTCAACACCATGAGACGGGTATGAAAGAAACTTCCAGCATATCCTCTGCTGTGTTTGTTTCCTGCACTGATTTATTTCATCTTTTTTCGTTCAGAGCCCATGTCTCCGCTGAAGAGCCCCTCAGCACCAGAGTCCAGTCAGACCTCAGGCGGCTCTGCGACATCAGAAGGTTCCTCTGCCGGGTTCAGGCCGGTGCCAAAGAAGCGGACGTTCCTCTCAAGGCAGACAATGCTAGAAAACAACGGGCCCGCTTCAGACGCTCAGGTGGGGCCAGTTGGGGTCATTCCTGCCCCGAGACGCAGCCTCCAGCGAGGGTCCAGCGAGAGCTCCAAGAAGAGCGTCGATGAGATGCCACAGAAAAGTGCGGTTCCTGATCAAGTGTCTCAGTCAGCTCAGCCATCCAAATCTGTACATGATGAAAACCACCAAGAACCTGTCTTTAGCATCTCTCAGGCTTTCTCCAGTTCCAGTCAGGAGAAAGAAAGAAAACCACCTTCTTTAAGAAGAGGAGGGTCCGTGGATAATTCATCTGACTCCAAAAACGCCGGGAAACTCTCACACCCTTCCACTGCTACGCAAGACCGTCTTGACTCTGGTCCAGCTACATCAGCAAAGAGTGATTCTTCAGCTGACAGAAAAGTCCTGCAGAAATGTGACGAACAGAAGGACCGGACACAAGTTAATCATGTAGTGAACAAACTCATCCTGCAGGATACAGACCAAGAAAACTGCAGCAGTGCGGGGACATCAACAATGCAGGGGCTCAGCTTACCCCAAAGCACCGCAGGTGAGTTCAGAGTCAAGAAATAACTTCTCCTAACCTCCTCACAGTCCAGCTTGACCACAGCAAGACTTTTCCATCCCAGATCGTTTAAGTGCACAGGTTTGTAGAGGTGTGATCACAGTGTGCTGTACCGCTAGATAAAAGTAAAGTGAAGAATATTCATAGAGAAGGGAAAACTTTGTTTATACATCCATCTCCATTTATTATCCCGTGTTTTACAGCCAGATGTAAACAACTTCAATTTTGCATTACTTTGATTGTTTCTCACTTTCATCAGAGTCCCAGAAGAAAGAGACAGATGGTATGTTTCCACCCATCTGTTTGTATTACTTGATGGAATTCGAATAAATGTAAATATAAACCCCATAAACAAATAAACAAAACAGCTAAAACAGCTAAAACAACTGTCATAAAAAGACAAAACATTTAATTGCTGCACTGAGTGATGAAAAAGTAATGAAATGGTTTGACTTTTCATTGACTTTTCTACCAATTAAAGAAAAGTCATTGCAGGTCACCCAAAGCTGGAAAACTCTATTTGATGACGTATTATTTAAGCCTTCTGTTAGACAAACTGCTGTCTAGGATTGGCAGAATGTTAATGTTCATCACTGGGTCCACCACTTTGGTCAGGAATGAAATATTACCAAGCATAATATCAGATGTCATAAACTTGAGTGGAGACATTCATGGTCCAAGATAAAGAGCTCTGAGGTTGGTCCTCACCTGGCTTGTCCATCAGTGTCAGTGGCTCATTTTCTTTACCTTATTAATAAGAACATAAATCTTTTTATAAACACTTTTATTTATTTGTTTTTATTCCACTACCACTCTACTTCCTGAAAAAGCAATATTACTCACCATGCTGCTATTTTACCCTTAGTTTTAATTGTTTTTGAATTTTTTCTTTATATTGAATTAAACACCATCATGCTGTGATATGGAAGCCAAGCAATGAC